TATATATATATATATAAACTTGATAAATGTAATTTAATATATTTTTATAACATTTATTAAATAATTTGAAAAACATCAAATTTTATAAACATTTATCTTTCAGTTTAAACATTTAAAATTTTTCATGTTTATTAAACATTATTCATTAAATAGTATTTTGAATGCAACTATATTGTTTAGAAAATAATTCGAAAAATAAAATTCGCTCTATTTTTTAGTTTTATTCTTGTTCTTATACTTATTTTCCTATTATTTCTATTAACTGATTTTATTTCCTAAAATTACTGACTCTTATTGTCAATATTATATCTCCATACTTTAGAGGCGCCTGAAAAAGGTTTGTAATCGTGTCTATTTCCGCAGTTGTCAAACCGCAACGAAGCTGATCTAGACCTCTAATAAAATCAAACTTCGAAATGACAAGTTGGTTGTGTCTATCAAATTGACGCATGAATTCGAGGACCTACGCGTGGAAAAAAATTATCGAATTAATTCTGACACAAATCACTTCTCTTTAATCAATAACAAATATAAATTACTTTAATTCTTTCGCGTACAACTTTAGCTTTAATTTTAGCCAAAATCAATACAATGTTGGTCTCATCCTCGTCAGGTTCAGACGGTGGCCTTTCAGCGTTAAGTCTCTTTTTATCCTCCAACATGCGACAATATAAAGGCTCCACGATCGGTTGAGATTCTAGTTCCTGCAAAAATCGAGTGTAGTTAAAACCCATATCGTCGTTATATCTTTTTTCCAGAACAAACTCTTCTTCCGGAGACAAGAATATGGTCGCCAAGACTAGGACTTGTCTGAATTGCGCTCGCGTCACATGACCGCAATTGTGTCTGCAAATATATAATTAATTCACAAAATTCAAAAATTATTAATATCTTTTCGGTATCATTAATAGCATATTTCAGTTAATAGTATATTTTGTTCAAATGACAAACTGAAACAATACATTTTGATCGAAAATTATTAAGCATTCACTGTGATTTTTCAAGCAATTTTAATTTAAAATATTACTCTCGTATTTATTTTCCAAAAGTATATGAATGTATTAAATAAATTATTACCTGTTAGTTATAATAAAAATTATAATAAATAAATGTTTCTTAATTACAATTTACTATATAGAATATGTAGAAAATTTTTTTATTTAATTAAATTTTTCATCAATCAAAATAAATTATTTGATTAACAATTATTTAAAGATGAATATACTTGTCGTAATCCTTGAAATATTGCTTGAAGAGAATTCTTTTTTCTTCGACTCGTTGTCTTACTCTCTTCATGATATCTTCACAAAGCTCTCTTATATTCTTCGGCTGGCATTGCCAATTTAGCACACCTTTTCGAGGTAATTCAGCTATATCTTGAGGTAATTCCACTTTTAGGGTTGGCAATTTATCAAGTCCTTTTACGGTAAAAACTATGAAAATGAAAATACTATTAAACTAAATAAAAATGTTTATTAAAATAATAAAATGTAAAAACGGTAGCGCACACACATAAAAAAAAATGTTAAAATAGTACAATACATATACTGAGAACAAATATTCTTTAAACTAGAATTTATTTGCACAACAAAATTACAAAACATATATTTTTTATTCATTTCTCATTTACATAAAAAGCGGTTTTCTTTTTTAAAAAAATATTTTTTGAAAAATTAGTTTGCAATCTTTTAATTGTATTACATTCTTATTGTATTATCAATTAAATCAAATAAATTGTTTCATAATTTTTATATAAATAATCAAAATATTATTATAAAAAAAGAAATTAAAAAAAAACATTTTATTTTACGTCCAAAGAAAGATTATATATAATATTAAAACAGGAAAAGCGTTTGTTCTCAGGATGTATCACCAAAAACGTTTGCATTTATTTTAGACATTGATACCCTGATCTATATCATCTTCGAATATGCGCCAACATACGCGATCCGGATCATCTGGATCCCTGTAGAGAGCGATTAAGGCATCGATTTCTGGTTCAATCAGCCAAAGACGGCCCAAAGATGAAATCTGAAGCGCGTTCAGCGCTCTTCGAAATTGTGAGACAGTCACTCGACCAACATTCAGATGTTCGAAATCCTATGATGACCCCAAATCGTTCGGTTCTTAATCAACGGATTAAACCGTTAATATATCACGCTCATGATAATAGGAGGATGCGATAGAGATAGCGAGCGAACTCATTGCGGGTAACAACTCATTGATAAATCCGCGCGCATATGGGAATTCAGCATACATGATAACGTTAATTAGATAATGTTATCACGTATGCTGAATTCTCATATACATAACATAATTGGATCGCGAGAACCTTGAAAAATTCATGGATTCGTATGCGGTGCTCGAGAATGTGCCTCTGGATGCGTTTTATGACTTCCTGCACAAGCATCGCCTCTTTCGTCTGTTCCATCACTGGATGGAACACCGTTTGCTTATGGAAGACTTGACTGGGCATGATCTTACCAATTTCTGGTCGTGGGAGTTTCGGCAGGTCGACCGTAATTATTTGACCGGGTAATTGATCGAGCAACTCCTGAGAAATGTAACAGAGAAACTAAAGATAACGTACATTCTAGAAAACACATATTATGTTCTAATTCTCTTATATTTGTATAAATATTATAAATATATATGTGCAAAGATTATGAAGAAATAAAGATAAAAAAGGTTCTAAGAATGACAATATTTACTTTGTTGAGATTCACCATTCCAAATTTTTCTAAATAATGTTGAACTTCATCTACAGCTTTCACAAACGCTACATAATTTATGGTATAAGTATCTTTGGCAAATCTTTTTACGAGCAGACGAAATTCCTCAGCGCCCAGGACAATTCCCAGAAATTTTAAAATTCGACCAAAATGGGCAAGAGTAACTATGCCAACATTCTTCGTGATCTATAAAACATCTTATTAGAATGAATCGAAAATTATTAAACTTTTCTATTATTTATGCTTATTAAACTAAAATATTCACATTTTTACAATTTAATTACTTTTGTTTATTTTTAATATTTTATATCAAAATAATCCTTTTCTGAAATATACAATTATATCTTAATTAATAAAATAAAATCGATGATCCTTTTTAATAATTATGCTAATACATTAATAATTTTTAATAATTTAGTTTTACATTACAAGCACAACTAAATTATTAAAAATTATTAATGTATTTGTATTAGCATAATTATTATGCTTATCAAATACACAAAGAATAAAGAATAAATTACAGCTGCAATAATTAAATATAGTTGCAAACTGTAATGGTTCATATCTTTATAGATGAATCATATCAAACGTACCACTTCGTAATCTTGAAAGTATGGCCAAAGAATAATTTTTCTTTTGCTCACTAACACGGCGATCTGAGTGATAATCAGATTCAATTTTCGCGTCTCCGTGCCGGTCAGAACATTTATATGCAGCGGATCCTCCCATTCTAAACCGGTCACAAGAGTCTTGTTCTCGGAATTAGGAACTACGAGAAATATCACAAAAATGATTATTATGATTATTATTATTATTATTATTATTATTGTCATTTTGCAAATCTGTATGCTATGCATGTCTCATTGTATTAATCCAATTATTGAGTCATTTTATATAAACTTTATATAAAGACTGATAAATAATCATATTATATAAATGCTTTTTGTATAAATAATTGCTTGTACCACTATCGTGAATAACTTCACAAAATTGCGAATAAAGAATCCGACCGTCCTGAATTCGAAAATAATCCGTCAGATCGCAAATCTCTTTATCTGATAAGCCAATCACGCCTTTTAGTGGTCCAGCCAAAACGGAGATAAATTTGGTCTCTGCAAATTTAATAACTGGTTACGTATGTACACATGTGTTTTATAATTAATTAATGCACCGTAAAATAATCATAAATTTTAGATACATTCGATAACACAAATTAATCAATCACCATTGCAGTACAATTTTTAAATAGATTTTAAATTCTGCTAATGTTTGTCTATTTAAATGAATTACATATCGCGAAATTAATTTATTCAAATATTTATTATTTACCTCTGCATCAATGCTTTCTGCATAAATATTCACTTATAACTTTAATCCAAATTTTAAAAACTATACATTGAGATATAAATGTAAGATATATATATATATATATATATATATATATATATCTTACATTTATATCTCAATGTATAGTTTTTAAAATTTGGATTAAAGTTATAAGTGAATATTTATGCAGAAAGCATTGATGCAGAGGTAAATAATAAATATTTGAATAAATTAATTTCGCGATATGTAATTCATTTAAATAGACAAACATTAGCAGAATTTAAAATCTATTTAAAAATTGTACTGCAATGGTGATTGATTAATTTGTGTTATCGAATGTATCTAAAATTTATGATTATTTTACGGTGCATTAATTAATTATAAAACACATGTGTACATACGTAACCAGTTATTAAATTTGCAGAGACCAAATTTATCTCCGTTTTGGCTGGACCACTAAAAGGCGTGATTGGCTTATCAGATAAAGAGATTTGCGATCTGACGGATTATTTTCGAATTCAGGACGGTCGGATTCTTTATTCGCAATTTTGTGAAGTTATTCACGATAGTGGTACAAGCAATTATTTATACAAAAAGCATTTATATAATATGATTATTTATCAGTCTTTATATAAAGTTTATATAAAATGACTCAATAATTGGATTAATACAATGAGACATGCATAGCATACAGATTTGCAAAATGACAATAATAATAATAATAATAATAATAATCATAATAATCATTTTTGTGATATTTCTCGTAGTTCCTAATTCCGAGAACAAGACTCTTGTGACCGGTTTAGAATGGGAGGATCCGCTGCATATAAATGTTCTGACCGGCACGGAGACGCGAAAATTGAATCTGATTATCACTCAGATCGCCGTGTTAGTGAGCAAAAGAAAAATTATTCTTTGGCCATACTTTCAAGATTACGAAGTGGTACGTTTGATATGATTCATCTATAAAGATATGAACCATTACAGTTTGCAACTATATTTAATTATTGCAGCTGTAATTTATTCTTTATTCTTTGTGTATTTGATAAGCATAATAATTATGCTAATACAAATACATTAATAATTTTTAATAATTTAGTTGTGCTTGTAATGTAAAACTAAATTATTAAAAATTATTAATGTATTAGCATAATTATTAAAAAGGATCATCGATTTTATTTTATTAATTAAGATATAATTGTATATTTCAGAAAAGGATTATTTTGATATAAAATATTAAAAATAAACAAAAGTAATTAAATTGTAAAAATGTGAATATTTTAGTTTAATAAGCATAAATAATAGAAAAGTTTAATAATTTTCGATTCATTCTAATAAGATGTTTTATAGATCACGAAGAATGTTGGCATAGTTACTCTTGCCCATTTTGGTCGAATTTTAAAATTTCTGGGAATTGTCCTGGGCGCTGAGGAATTTCGTCTGCTCGTAAAAAGATTTGCCAAAGATACTTATACCATAAATTATGTAGCGTTTGTGAAAGCTGTAGATGAAGTTCAACATTATTTAGAAAAATTTGGAATGGTGAATCTCAACAAAGTAAATATTGTCATTCTTAGAACCTTTTTTATCTTTATTTCTTCATAATCTTTGCACATATATATTTATAATATTTATACAAATATAAGAGAATTAGAACATAATATGTGTTTTCTAGAATGTACGTTATCTTTAGTTTCTCTGTTACATTTCTCAGGAGTTGCTCGATCAATTACCCGGTCAAATAATTACGGTCGACCTGCCGAAACTCCCACGACCAGAAATTGGTAAGATCATGCCCAGTCAAGTCTTCCATAAGCAAACGGTGTTCCATCCAGTGATGGAACAGACGAAAGAGGCGATGCTTGTGCAGGAAGTCATAAAACGCATCCAGAGGCACATTCTCGAGCACCGCATACGAATCCATGAATTTTTCAAGGTTCTCGCGATCCAATTATGTTATGTATATGAGAATTCAGCATACGTGATAACATTATCTAATTAACGTTATCATGTATGCTGAATTCCCATATGCGCGCGGATTTATCAATGAGTTGTTACCCGCAATGAGTTCGCTCGCTATCTCTATCGCATCCTCCTATTATCATGAGCGTGATATATTAACGGTTTAATCCGTTGATTAAGAACCGAACGATTTGGGGTCATCATAGGATTTCGAACATCTGAATGTTGGTCGAGTGACTGTCTCACAATTTCGAAGAGCGCTGAACGCGCTTCAGATTTCATCTTTGGGCCGTCTTTGGCTGATTGAACCAGAAATCGATGCCTTAATCGCTCTCTACAGGGATCCAGATGATCCGGATCGCGTATGTTGGCGCATATTCGAAGATGATATAGATCAGGGTATCAATGTCTAAAATAAATGCAAACGTTTTTGGTGATACATCCTGAGAACAAACGCTTTTCCTGTTTTAATATTATATATAATCTTTCTTTGGACGTAAAATAAAATGTTTTTTTTTAATTTCTTTTTTTATAATAATATTTTGATTATTTATATAAAAATTATGAAACAATTTATTTGATTTAATTGATAATACAATAAGAATGTAATACAATTAAAAGATTGCAAACTAATTTTTCAAAAAATATTTTTTTAAAAAAGAAAACCGCTTTTTATGTAAATGAGAAATGAATAAAAAATATATGTTTTGTAATTTTGTTGTGCAAATAAATTCTAGTTTAAAGAATATTTGTTCTCAGTATATGTATTGTACTATTTTAACATTTTTTTTTATGTGTGTGCGCTACCGTTTTTACATTTTATTATTTTAATAAACATTTTTATTTAGTTTAATAGTATTTTCATTTTCATAGTTTTTACCGTAAAAGGACTTGATAAATTGCCAACCCTAAAAGTGGAATTACCTCAAGATATAGCTGAATTACCTCGAAAAGGTGTGCTAAATTGGCAATGCCAGCCGAAGAATATAAGAGAGCTTTGTGAAGATATCATGAAGAGAGTAAGACAACGAGTCGAAGAAAAAAGAATTCTCTTCAAGCAATATTTCAAGGATTACGACAAGTATATTCATCTTTAAATAATTGTTAATCAAATAATTTATTTTGATTGATGAAAAATTTAATTAAATAAAAAAATTTTCTACATATTCTATATAGTAAATTGTAATTAAGAAACATTTATTTATTATAATTTTTATTATAACTAACAGGTAATAATTTATTTAATACATTCATATACTTTTGGAAAATAAATACGAGAGTAATATTTTAAATTAAAATTGCTTGAAAAATCACAGTGAATGCTTAATAATTTTCGATCAAAATGTATTGTTTCAGTTTGTCATTTGAACAAAATATACTATTAACTGAAATATGCTATTAATGATACCGAAAAGATATTAATAATTTTTGAATTTTGTGAATTAATTATATATTTGCAGACACAATTGCGGTCATGTGACGCGAGCGCAATTCAGACAAGTCCTAGTCTTGGCGACCATATTCTTGTCTCCGGAAGAAGAGTTTGTTCTGGAAAAAAGATATAACGACGATATGGGTTTTAACTACACTCGATTTTTGCAGGAACTAGAATCTCAACCGATCGTGGAGCCTTTATATTGTCGCATGTTGGAGGATAAAAAGAGACTTAACGCTGAAAGGCCACCGTCTGAACCTGACGAGGATGAGACCAACATTGTATTGATTTTGGCTAAAATTAAAGCTAAAGTTGTACGCGAAAGAATTAAAGTAATTTATATTTGTTATTGATTAAAGAGAAGTGATTTGTGTCAGAATTAATTCGATAATTTTTTTCCACGCGTAGGTCCTCGAATTCATGCGTCAATTTGATAGACACAACCAACTTGTCATTTCGAAGTTTGATTTTATTAGAGGTCTAGATCAGCTTCGTTGCGGTTTGACAACTGCGGAAATAGACACGATTACAAACCTTTTTCAGGCGCCTCTAAAGTATGGAGATATAATATTGACAATAAGAGTCAGTAATTTTAGGAAATAAAATCAGTTAATAGAAATAATAGGAAAATAAGTATAAGAACAAGAATAAAACTAAAAAATAGAGCGAATTTTATTTTTCGAATTATTTTCTAAACAATATAGTTGCATTCAAAATACTATTTAATGAATAATGTTTAATAAACATGAAAAATTTTAAATGTTTAAACTGAAAGATAAATGTTTATAAAATTTGATGTTTTTCAAATTATTTAATAAATGTTATAAAAATATATTAAATTACATTTATCAAGTTTATATATATATATATA